TGAAGTGGAATCTCAGCGTTGTTTTCATTTGCATCTCTCAAATGACCAGTGATGTTGAACATTTTTTCATGTATTTATTTGCTATTTCTACTTTTAAGAAGTATTTTTTAATTGAAGTGCTTTGCAACTAGGATAGATGGTCTCTTTCATTTGGCCACTCTTGGGCTAGTTCACATGATGTACTCTTTTGTTACCAAACAGGTATAGTCTGCTCTTTATCTTAGCCCAGACTCCCGGTGTCCTGTGGGGTCTGGAGCCAAAAGAGCCACTAAAACATACTAGTGTCCCTGAGCTCCATTCTAAGGAGTACAGAAATTCCTTTTGGAGAAACAAATGGTAACCAGTTAAAAAGGAATAAAGCCGATATGTGAACACATATGATGGAATTCATCTGAACACATGAGCTGGGGATCCTTGGACATGGTCAGCCTGGGATGGTAGCTTCTGTGGTTTGGATGTGGTTTGATGTGTCCCCCAAGGTTTGTGTGCGGGAAGCTTGGAGTCCCGTGTGGCAGTATTGTGGTGCTGGAACCTTTAAGATTCAGGGTTGAGACACTGCCCTAGGAAAGGATCAGTGCTGGTCTCAGGAATGAGTTAATTCTTGAGAGAGTGGGTTGTTATTAAGCAAGTCCACCTCATGTACTGGTTGTCTTCTACATGTGGCCATTTCCTCTTCTGCTTTTTTGCCATGTTATGGCCAAGCCAAGAGGTGCTTCACCAGAGGCCAAAGGATGCCTGTGTTCACCCAGTCAGGGCATTTCAGCCTCCAAAACGTTGAACTAAATAAACCCCCTTTCTTGATGAAGTACCCGCACTTGGGTACAGTGCACCCTTGACTTAAGAAGCCAATTTGTTCCCGAGGGCTGGTTGTAACTCAAGTTGGTCAACTGAAGGCTCAGGCTCCTCTACACAGCCTTCAAAGCCTCTCTCCTGCATACAGACAGATCTCAGTGTCCTTAGAGACATTGGCCCAGGATTTCTCACTTAACCTCACACAGGAAAGGAACTCTTTAAGGGTTAAATCTGTATCTGTGCTTCCATCTGGAAGCACAAGTGGCTGACATTTGGGTCATACCTCAAGACTTTGTTCGTAAATTAAAACTAAGATTCTGCTCGTAACTCAGGATGTTCATATGTCAGGGTGGTTGTAATTCAAAGTCTACTGTATTTTGTTATAGGAAGAGAAGACAAGCTAATATAATGGCATTATTTTAAAGGCTTAGTCTGGCATGGTGGTGCATCCCTGTAATCCCAGCACTCAGGAGGCTGAGGCAGGAGGATTGCCACAAGTTTGAGGTCACCCTTGGGTACGTAGGAAGTGTAGCAAGTGTAAGGCCAGCCTGGACTACATAGCAAGACTCTGTCTCAGAAACAAAACAGAACAAAAACCAAAAACCAAAAACCAAAGGCTTATTGGGATTCTCAGGGTTGCCTTACAATCCAGGTTCAAACCCAAAAGCAGTCTTAGTTTTTTTGTGCATGTGTGTTATTGGACGTCACTTAACAATGTTCCTAAAATAATCTTCTTGCCCTGAACTTGCAAAATAATTATTCCTAGGCCAGAGTGGCCTTCACTTACTTGTCCCTGCTGTACTTGGTAGGATGGAGAGGACCTCACAAGGCAAGCCCTGTCCCTGCTGCTGTATTTCTAGGACATTCTCTTCTGTCTGTTTGGCCTTCGTGGCTTCTGGTGGCCTTCTGGTCTCTGGAGCCATCAAGGGTAGGGAAGAGCCTGCAGTCAGAATACAGTGAGAGAGAGAGGAGAGCACTCTGGATATATTTATTGTCTAAAGCATGGCTGGTTAATAAAACAAAATTGTGCTTTGGATTTTTGATTTTCTTTATTAGCTTTCACCGTTAGATGACTCACCAAGATGATGGAATTTACTCAAAATTTCAAGAAGCATTTATAGAGAGAAAATTGGGCTCTCAGGCTCCGTCCCAGAAAAGATGAGGATTGAAAGGCCTGAGGTCTCACGTGGAACTCCAGGCACATTCCTTTCCTTAGATTGTGGGCTGCTAGGAGTTTTAGTGTTGAGTTCATTTATCTGAATGCAACAGGCTATGTGACTCAACATTGCCTCATAACAAGCAACTCTGAAATCTCAGTGGTTCACAATCATTAAGGTTTATTTTGCTTTTAAATAATATGCAAGTTCTAGACTGGCTGTATCTCTACTCCATTTGTTTTCTTTTCTGGGTCCCAGGTTGCAGACACAGCCCTTATGAAGGACATGCCCGGTGTCATGGTGGAGGAGAAGAACAAAACACCCGGTGGAAGCTGAGTGTGATAGTGCATGCCTTCAATCCCAGCACTCTGGAAGGCTGAGGCAGGACGATCTCAAATCTGAGCCCAGCCCTGTGCAACTTAGCAAGACCCTGTCTTAGAATAAAAAATAGAAAGGTATAGATAAGAGGTAGCTCAGGTTGAAGGCTCTGGGTTCATTCCCAGTATTGGGAGTGGTGGTAGTGGTGGTGGTGGTAGAGACTTGTACTTGGATTTGTTTGGATATGGTGTGTCCGTATCCACTTACATTTATTTTACTGCCCAAGAAGTCACATGGCAAAGCCTGATATTGTGCAGAGAAATACACGTGGCTCCCAGGGAAGCCCTGGAAGTCCAGGTGGAGATATAAAAATCTTCTCTATGGAAGGGAAGCATGGATAATTGTGATATAATTCAATCTGCTGCAATTAGCCCACCGTATATACCTCTTTTTCCACATATGAGGCTTAATTCTGTTGGAGTTTCCCTGGGAATAGAGCAAGCAGGATTTATACAAAGCAGAGCAGTGAAAAAGGGGAGAGCAAAGAGTCCTGGCAGGACTTTCTGAATCCGTTCAGCTCCTTTGGTGACAGATTACAGAAGCTGTCATGGCTGCTCAGGTACATTCTACAACGAGCATAGTTACCTAGTTAACCCATAGTTACCTAATAACACAGTTAACTCAGAGTGGCCCAAGTCTATATGGAGAGGTGGTCTCAGGTCTCAATAGGAACATTTATTTTATTTGATGGAATGAAATATTTCTTGATTCTAGAATTGAAAACCAAGCCAGGGAAGGTCTTTAGATTGTTGTAATCTTGTCCTTTGATGCAACAGAGAGGAGGGTGCAGGAATTATGAACATTCTACCCCACCACCAGGCCTATTTGGTACTTGATATAAAACAAGAGGGATTGAATGGTCATGCCGTAGGTCCAGATATGCAAAATTTGGGAGAGGGAGATTTAGTGTTTTCTTAGGGAGCTTTCTTTCAATTTGTCTCCTGCATGTATTCTTTTTCATGAGTTCTTTAGAATCTCCTTGAGAAAGGGGTGTGCCCTGTTTGTGAAGATATTCAGGGAAAGGGGTGTGTTTTCCTCCAAACCTTTCCTTCCTTCCTTCTCTCTACAATGTGCACATTTGTGCTTATCCGTGCATCTCTACCCCAATTTACTGAGACTCTCTTTGGTTAATTCTGTGCTGATAAGATACATTTTAGGATGGACAAGGAATCAAACACCTTTTGTTTCTAAATCCTTTCAACCCAGAGCACTGCTTGTTTTGGATCATTAAAGTCCACTTAAGCAGTTGTTTATTGAAGTGAGAAAGGGCTACAGAATGGAAAAGCAGATGCTCTTTGGAATGATAAATGCAAAACTCTCCTCTGGGCATCTGGAAGTCTGTTTGAAGTATCGCTCCAGGTACAAGCTGGGTACTTCAGTGATTATTTGATATCCAGGTCTAATTACTTATCTGTCTCTAAGTATAGCTGCTTGTTAGAAGTTCCTGTCCTGCACTTGGCCATGAGATCTGCAGAAACAGAGCTGTATCTATATTGGGCCATGGTACGCTAATGTGGAATTTTCCCAATGCCCTCACTCCTAATTCTAGTTCAATACCTGTAATAATATTTCTCCCACTAGGTCTGAGGTAGAACATGTAAGGGGACTAACACAGTGCTCGACACTAGAGATTGGAGGAGGGAAATGGTTTAGGGCCACATCACATAGACCCTTGGACATCATAATAAGATGCTGGCTTTTGTTCTGAGAGTCACAATACACCCCTTGGGGGGTTGAACATGATTTGACTTATGTTTTAAGAGGATCCCTGTGGCTATTGTGCTGTGGGTAGATCTTAGCATGGTGAACATTTCCCTTCATCCTTGATGCATTTCCATTTGTCGAAAACTGGTCTGGTGATGCCTGGTGTGCGTAGAAATCCTAAATTTATAACACATTTTTTTTCCATTAAGTTTGTTGGTACATTTTAGGCATACAATACAGTTACATTCGTCATTGGGGTCTTGTACCTTTACATGTTATATCTTGGTTCTTATTTTTCCCCCCTTCCTCTGCCCTCCCTTCAACCCCTCCACCCTTCCCTATTTACAGAGACCTTGTTTCCATTTTTTCCTTTTCTCCTATTTTTTCTTTTCCTCCTTTCCTTTCCCCTACCACTCCCACTTCCCCTACCCCTTTAGACCTTTGAGCATGAAAAGAGAATCCCTTTTGAAAATTGCCATGAAAGCCAAATTTACTGAAACTGTTCTCTCTCTCCAAATAGAAAATAACCCAAGCTCTAGTTTGCAAGTTACTTCTCTCAAACATCATTCTGGAAGTGAAATTTGACAGCAACAAAAGTATTTGAAGAGGCTCTTCAAATTCATTGTAACTGAGTTTGTCCTTGTGAACTGAGTGCTCTGAAAAAGGGATTCAGCCTCATCTTGCATTTCTGGCAGGACAGCGGGTCAGCCAGAGTGTCAGAGATGTGGCTCTGGTGGCTGTACTGCCCAGTCATCCTGAATTTCCATCTGGACCCCAGGTCTTGATCAGAGGACTCTAAGCTTCTTTCTCTGAGTTGTTGATTCTTGACCTTTTCTTGGCTTCTGAAAAAGGATCCACTTATGGGCCCTGTGCATCTCCAACTGCCTGTGTTTGTCTCTCTCTTCACCTGTATGATCATGCTCAAGTGGTTTGTTTGGCTGGTTGCTTTCTCTTTTTCCAAAATAGCTTAACTTCTCTTTTTAAAAGATTGGGCAGAGAAGGTCTTCAGCATATGCTTTTTCCCTTCTCCAAGATTTTAAGAGTATACTCTCATAAATGAAAAAATTATAGCCATTACCAGGATGAGTCATGTCAGGGAGTATGGAAACATGGATTCCATTTGGAGCAAGATTTATCAGGCTGGCCAGAGATCCTTCTCTCTTTGACGTTCAGGAGTCTGTAGGCTGACTGTTATTGGATTGTAAGTGCCATCATAACTGAGATGCATCATGCAGCTCTAAGGGCAGAGTTTTGGGAGAACTAGGGCTGGTCGAGAGGGATGTTCCTTCCTTCCCTTTACCATTCTTCTGATGTCAATTGTCATCCATCACTGACTTTCTTCTCATACACACTTCCTGGACTAGGCTAGGGACCAAGCCTTTATCATGTGGCCTTTGGGGGACATTTAAGACCCAGACAATTGCAATAGGTTTGTGAGATCCATCAATTGACAAGGGAAAATAAGCAGGAAAAGGCACCTATGTATGGATTCTCACAACAGTAGGGATTGGTTAGAGTTGGCTTTCTATCCTAGTCCCCACATTTTTCCGATAGGTCCTCCATAAAATGTCTGGACGTGACAAGAGTGAAGGAAAACATGTGACTACAGTGCAGATAGGGGATCCTTTGTTTCAGTTTAAGAAAGTATATTGGCTACCTAAGCAGTAGCATTTGGTGTTTAAGTAGACCTTTGGAGTTAACACCTGGTTGATGCTCTTATGTCACAGATAAAGACACCAAGTCTCTCACATGGCCCGGTGCCCCTGTGAGCTCATCTTAGCTGGTCTTTTTGTTCTGCACCCACAGATGACAGTGTTGGTGAGGCCAGGCCTACAGATCCCATTAGCTTTGTCCTGTTCCTTGGCCACCTGTGGCGCCTAAGTCCTCATCCAGAGACCTTCCTGGTATGGGTAGATGGTGATCAAAGAGGAGACAGGAGACTGATTGGATGGACCTGCTCCAGAATGTCTACTGGAGAAGACAGGGCACTCTCTGGCCTGATGACTGTGGCCTGCTAACTGTAACTCGTGGGACTAGAAAGGGTTATAGAATCACATCATGGTGACTCATGAATGTCTCAGTGAGTGACCACAGGTGGCATAGAGGATGGAAAAGGTTACTTGGAGACGTGACTTAGTTCAGTCACCAAGAGGGCCAGAGAGGTTATTCTAAACTGAGAGCACCCGGCCATCAGGGAGACTCTCTGGAGAGGAAAAAGCCACCAAGCCGAGAACTCTGGCTTTCATTTAGAATATCAGTCAGTGTAAGAGAAAAAAGCAAGAGAAAAGCACTTTGGGCAAGGAGCTGTCTCAAAGCTGGGCAGTTTTTCTTGGGGAAAGGGGAAGGACAATGGCCAGATGCAACATGTTTCGCTAATCTAAACTTCTTGTTTAACCATTCGATTCTCACACAGCCTGTGTGCTTTTTTTCCCCTACAGTTTAATTATTTACTTCTCATAGAGCCTGCGTGCTTTTGCCCTGCAGTTTAACCATTCACTCCTCATATAGCCTATGCACTTTTGTCCCGCTTTTTAATGACCATTCACTCTTTGGCCAAGTCCCCCACATACGAACACTGTTGTTCTGTGCTCATCTCAATAAAGAGCCTCTAGAGGAGTTCAGGGATGGACACAGGCTACCTTTGGAACCTTGCAAAATGTAAGGGCAGTGAGATCTTATTCTGGAATGTTCCCCACCCTTC